ATAATTCATTAATCAACGAATAATTCATGCAGTATATTTCAGCTGGTGTATATGTTTTGCATTCTTTGGGAGTTTTAGTCAAATCTGTAAAAAATATATTTTTGCAACCAACAGCTAAACAATTCCGTCTGGAGTTATTAAAACATAATTCTCGTGAAATGAAAAAACTCGTGAAAGCTCCACTTTTTTCTTCACTGTTGTAGCGCTTCAGTAAAAATATCGACCAAAACGTATACTGTCGCGACATCATTCACACATATACACACACTGACAACCTATTAACAGTATGAGTTGTTCCTCTCTGTTGTAGCGCTACAGCGTTGCACAGAAAGAGAATATCAATGTGCTTCAAAATGTTGAAAATGCGGGTTGCACTGCGCGGCAGTCTGCCCAGATTTGCTGAAAATTACAGAGGTAGCTGAACGGCTACGTATCTTTCAGCCACAAATTAAACTCCTCAGCAAATATATTTTGGATCCCTAATCATGCTTCTTTCGAGTGGCATCCGATCCAACAGTTTTTTAAATAATTCAGGTAATTTACCGCTTGGGAATCGTCGGGAATTGCTGCACCATTATCTGCAAGTGCCTCAGTCTCGCGTATCATTATCTGGTCGATCCAGTCCATCCATTGTCAGCATGCAGTCCGATCCTGAATCTTGTTTAGACGACACACGCTTTCCGGATGATTTATTTGAGCCCGAGCTCCTCGGTTTGTGAGTTTGCATGATTATGAATTCATCTACTTGCTGTTAAATCAGTCAGCGCAGTATTTTGCTCACTGTGCCAGTTCAGGTATTTTCAGATCATTCAAGCAGATGCATCTGCAAAAAATTTGAGTACACGGCTTTTTAAGACAAATAAAGATAAAGACAAGAGACTGAAAGTTTTGCAGAACGAATCAGTATTGCTTCGATGGCACCATTTCCAAGAAAGTGAATTTTAAAGTAGTGCTTGGGAAAAACCGGCTTTGACCTCAACTGAATTCTGAGTAACAAATTTTAAATATTTTTTTGAATTTGAAGGTTTCCGACGTTTTTGAAGAAGAAAGTGCCTCAGATACAGCCACTAATGTGTGCATAATTGGGACAGAGGCTTTTTTTCGCCTTTCAAGCCTTACTTACCGTCGAAACTCTTAGCTCTCTGTCTCAGCACTTCCTTAAGGTGAATGAGCAACTGCTTTGTGTCGCTGGAAATGTCGACAGAGCTAATCGTGCGTGAGCTTTTCTGTGTTTCTTTTTAGAAGCCTTTTTATCATCCATTAAGCTTCAGTGTCCGCTTCTCTCTTCTCCTTGATGGGCTTTTTGGTTCGGATGTTTTTTCTTGTTGACTCCTAACTACTTTACCTACAAAATCACTTACTTTTCATCTGGCCACTCAAAGAGATTGTTTATTCTGTAGTGTGCATCTGCAGGATTGGTGTTTTATCTTTCCGAATTCCCTTGATCTCAAAATCCTAAACGAAACGCCAGAGATTAGCGTTCTACGAAAAGTGTTTCCAAATGTAAATATTGAAGTTAACTGTAAATTTTCTAGCTCCTTCATTAATACCTAAAATCTCTTAAGGAAGGTTTTTGTGCGTTTTTTACACGTTTATGCAAACACAAAAGCGCATATTGGCGATAAGTTGTTGTTGTGTGTGTACATGAATATGTATATGTATACATACATACCTTGAGAGATTTTATGCATATATATGTGTGTGTTTTTGTGAATTTTTATCACTCTTCAACTCAGCAACGGCAGAAGCGAAGAAGCTGGGGTTTCAGCCCAAGTGCAATTCCAGCAACTTAAAAATAAAGTTCACTTATGCCTGAGTCTCACGGTATGGATGCCGGAAAGAAAATATCTGAATTTTTTACGGAGTATGATTTCGATGAACAGACAGAATAGGAAGCTTAAACATCACGTAGATATTTTCTGTCCAAGTGTAAACAAAAACTTTTAAATTTAGTGATAGGTACGTATACGGAAACGTTAAATTTAAAATTTAGATACTGGGTGACAAAATGTCAATTGGAGAATCAGAATGAGCTTAGTTTACTGATTTTGCACGAATATTTGTTGTCAACACGCAGGCTTGTGGACCTAAAATGACTTTGGAAGTGTATTCTATTCTAATTCAGGTCGAGCGTGCGCACAAGTCAAAGTTTCTTAATTTGTATGGGGCATCTGTGGCACCCACTGGTAACCAGGCTAAGCAAAGCAATATTTTTCTGAAAATTTTGTTGCCCACGTGCGGACCAGCAAGCGTAAAATGAGTTTCTGCTTAGGTATGTCTCCTGCATACAGTTACACCGCAGTACAGATCATCTCTGTGCAAGATGGGGTCATGTTAAAACGCATGAGCACACCATCAACTCAAATGCGTGCCGTTGCTGTTTAAATTTCGTTGACTGTTTGTTGCATTTTTTTGTTTCGATTACGCTGCCCGTAAAATCCGCTGCCTAGAACCGCTATGCGATGAGATCCAACGCCGCTCATCCAGATTATGTCCTAGATGAGCTAGGAGTTGTGCAATTTATCGGCAAGAACTGAGGCTAGCGAAATTAACACTGTGAACTTGTAACAAATCATTTAACATATTAGCGTCACATGGAAACAACTCTGTAAGTGCGTGAGTGTTAATTTCTGCATTCTTTCTGCCCGTCATGCTTGTATGTACGAATTTTACCCCCCACCCCTCCCCCTCTCTCAGTAAACAAAGAATGATCCGCGGTCCATTGGATGATCTTACATAAAGTGTAAGTTCCACTTATTAGTATCTGTAGGGTTCTGGATATTGATAAATCTTTGGGATGAAGCGTAAAGGAGAGAGGACGAAAGAGTTTATTGGCAACATGTTGCTCTTTCCCGTCCCTCACTCTCATTAATTGGAGCGACACTGGTGTTTAACAATCAAAATTGTTGTTTTCCTCATCGCTCGGTAGGATGCGGCTAAGAGATAATCAATTATCTAACACTCCCACAGATTTAATTAGACCACTATTGCGCCAGTTTTTTCTGTATGTAGCACTTTTGAATTATCACGCGCTTGTTCCGAGTACTTTTATGCTTTTTGGGAGACATAAGACATTGATTCGCTGCAGTATTTTTATAAGGCATGGGTTCACAGAATTGTAATAAACTGTTCTAATAATATCCACTTGATTTTGAGATGGGCGAGAGCAATATTTGTCATAAATGCGTCCTGGCGCAAAACAATGCAGCTCTTGTTAATTGGTCGTTGGTTGGATTGATTTCGCGACCTTTCCAACCACTTATTTATTAATCATTATTTTTGTTTATTAAGAAATGGTGCCGAGGAGGAAGGAACAGTCAGCTGAATGCAGGAACGTTGAGGGAACATTAGTAAGGCCAATTCTTTGCGACACTTAGTGTTACCCACAAGGCCCGATCTTCTTTTCCAAAACTGTTTATTTTCTAAGGCAGTCACAGTTCTCAACTGCTTGGTTATCTGTCTTTCGATGCTTTTAAGAATGCGTTCAAGCTCTTGCTTTATGCCTTAGAGGGTAGTAAGATTTTTTTTTGCGAGGAAGTTGGGTAAGGGAGTGGAAAACTGAAGCGCACTGGTGTGGGAGCCTAGAATTCATTCATGATGTTCTAGGCTATTTCTCTTTCTGGCAAGTTATTCATCCCTAGGGAGCATCTCTCAACATTTTTCCCCAAAAAGCTTGCGCGAAACAGCCACCCCCTCATTCAAGAACGCCTCTTCTCTTCCATTCCCTCTTCTGGTATATTTATCTCCGCCAAAATTTTGCTACATCATGTCAGCAGTGCTTTTACAAATGTTTGCTTCCTTCACCATCAGATTTTCGCTATTGCGCGTTTTTACTAAGGGAAATCGAGCTTTTCACCAAAAAATTAGTCCTGCACATGGCTGGATTTCGTGAAGGAATGACATATACTGGCACGCAAAGTACGAACGTAAATTAGTGCTTTTTTAACTGCTTACTCGCCTACGCCATTCAATGTCGTAAAAGCTAGTTCATATACTGAAAAGAACAAAAAAAAAA